AAATAGCAGGAAATAACGAAATATGCAAATACCAATATTTTCTTAAGAATTTTCGCGAAATAGCTTTTGCGCTTCAATGCGCAAAAACATCGAAATTTGAGTAATTTTTACTCGAAACTTAAGGAAATCTTTGCGCAATTTTTGCACGATTTTCTTTCAAAAAATTTCGACGGAAACCCTAATATGGATATGCGTGTTAACATATTTTTAACAATTATTCTTTACAAACCCACTCGCGGATTCTATAGAACCAATTACTGTACTTTATCAAAATTGATTAATTCAACGTAAGCTTTAAAAATAATTTATCGAAAAATAACATTTAACGAGTACCTGTTAGTAAGTAGTTAATCATAATCAAACTAGAATATAAAAAATCCAGTTTATAGGGATTAATACATTACACAATTTTCTCAACAACGTACGTTTTTGTAGGAATGGAATGGAATGCATAAAAATACAATCTAAAGCAGTTTAGATTGTTTTAAAGCAGTTTTTTATCTAAAAATGGAAGTAAGCCAAAAAGTGCCCATAATAATCCTCAGCCAATTAGTTTGGTCTAAACCTAATTGGATTTCTAGAGTAAAATCATATTTAACTCTAAACAGGCTGGGGTGGGGGCGTTCGGCGCCCCCACCCCTGTTTATTTTTGTCCTAGCACTCTTATTTTTGACTTTATCACTGTGAAACTTTGTGACTTTTAATGAATAGTAATTTAAAGGAGTTTTTGTTTAAAAAAATATTTTTTTTTTAATTTATAGGGTAGGGTCCAGGATGGAAAAAAGTCCGGTCTGTGAATAAAAAAAAAAATCTAAACAAGCCCATAACTTTTTTGTGACTTAAGCTACAGACAAAGAGAATAGAATATATAGTGGAATTTACTAGAAAACAGTGTAAAACGGCCATTGTGTTGTACTGTTTCCATACTGCAGTGTACTTCACATATTTGCGCTATATAACCTTTTGGGTCCTGGAACATCATTTTATAGAAAATCTAAAATTAATATTAAAAGAAAACCAAATTATGAAATAGGCGGGTTTCCTTATTGACCAATGATCATTTCACATAGACTCTATGCCTTTTACTTTACAAACTATGATTTTCCGTTATAACTATAAATCAAATGATGATTTTTATTCACCTAATTCATTTTATAAAGTTTATTTAACAGCTTTAAAAAATTCGAAAAGTACTCTATACTGCATATAATTTGTTAACATTTACATGATTTGTATACTTTGAACTCCCTTACAGGCTGAAAGGGACTGACAAAATTCATACCGAAGGATTCTCTAAATTCCACTCTAATATATATTCTTTTTTCTTTGGCTAGAAATGCATGGAGAAACATGTGTTACACTATGATATTTTTTTCAAAACAATAAAAGTATTTTTTTCATTTTGACCCTTTTTTAGGCATATTTTTCAACCCCCCCTAGCACCCAAACTATTAAAGTTATCGGTCTATTTTTTCTTATTTGAGGTGGCCTTGACAAATTGGGCTATGAACATGTATTTCAACCCTATAAGTATTCTTTTTCTAGGGGCCGCGCAAACGCCCCCCCCCCTGGCTATGCATAGATTCAGGCCCCCCAGTCTTTATAGTGTTAAGACATATTACATGGATATTTTGGATTAAAACATTGATGAAGCCGCCATAATTGTCAAGAGCCCTTCAGAATTGTCAAAAATCATAAAACGATTTCTAACTTCACCCCCCCCCCCCCAAAAAAAAATAAAAAAATATTGGACATTAAATTTTTTCTTTAGCATGTGAAATAAAATCCTAGCCAAATCGGTGATGTCCCAGGTCCCTCTTATTTTGAAATTGAAATTCATAAAAGTGATTGAAGTAAGCTTTTAAATAGAAAAAAAATATCTATTTAGCGAAATTAACTTTTTATAAAGCAGCTTGATTAAAAATAAATGTATTATGATTAAATTTTTGTAGAAAATAAATAAATGTTATCCCAAAATGTAGGATAAATATCGACTTCATTAAATGAATTATAAACCTAGTCCTTGTTTAGAATTAGATATATAAATATGTATGGATTCAGTTAGATTAAAAACTTTTGTTCTAAATCAAAGATTCTCTCATTATTCTATGCAACATTTTTTTGTAAATCTAAGACTTTACGGTTGAACCCTAATATCTTGAGTTAAATTTTACTTGGTTTTGCTAAAACCTATTAAATAAAGTGTCAGAAATTCAAAATATGTAATTTTCAGAATAATTCGTGGTTTTGCAAAACAATTATTTGTCATAACTCATAATTCATTAACTTTGCATGTAGCATTTGTCATATTTATTTTTAAAACTACCAACTTAGAACCCCAGCATATCCCAAATAGATTGTTAAGTACTTGATTGCTATTTGGCATATCTTGGTTTTTAAGTACCCCAGCAGGGATAGGGTTAAATGAATATTATGATAGTAAATATAGTATTCCATATTCAACATTTTCATATAGTGGAAAAACATCTTACAATATAAATATCACGGTTTTATTTTGCCAAAAGCTAAAATGTTCTTGCAATTATTGAATAAATAAATTGAATAAACAAAATAAACCTGACTCTTAGTGCGTAGATCTGAAAATTCGTTTCTGATAATTGGGTTAAATAAATGTTTCTATAGTGTAGAGTAAGGGGAGGAAGGCCAGCCACAACAACTTCTCGTCCGAGTCACATTCTCCTCATTTTCTTGTCCGAACCTCCTCGAAATCCTCGCCCTTCGATTATTATGTGTTGAAAAGTTCCTAATTCTTGAAGATAAAACTATTTTTAACAAATCTGGCCACGTTAGAGCATAAACTAATATGGATAGATTAAATCATGTTTGAATCTTTAAAGACATGAGAATGATGTCAAACTTTATGCTAAGGATATCTGAAAATGCGCGTAAAAAAATGAACATTTCTAAGGACATAGAACTCGAAAACTTTAATTCAATTGAAACTATTTTTTTTCGATTTACAAAATTGAAACTTTCATTTATGCCGGAACATTGCCCGATTCTTAAAAAGTTCTTTTATCTTGGAGGACATACACTTAAAAAAAATAATATTGGAACGACGAGGATTTAGAGGTGGCTCGGACGAGAAAATGAGAATGTGGCTCGGACTAGAAATTGTTGTAACTGGCCTTCCTCCCTCGTAGAGTAAAGTGCACCTTTATAATAATTTTTAGCTTATTATTTTTTCATTTAAAATAAAAGCCGTTTACGACATGATAACATAACTTAGGTTGGAGTTTTACCATTAGTTCATTGACACCAAGTAATAAAGAAAATATATTGACAAAACTTTTGCTACTAATTTCTACAAGGTAATTTTGCGAAATTTTGAAATAATTGCGCATAATTAGCGAAACTTTGATTTCTACAAGGTAATTCGGTCATGGGGTTCCTGAGTTATGATCAGACACACACACAAACAGAGATTACTACTTTATGTTTATGGACGATTATGTAAATATCAAATTATCGCTTTCAAGCAAAATTTTGCCATTTACTTCTTAAAAGGCTAACAACAAGTGCTAAAATGTGCATGAAAAGGGCTAGAATAGAGCTTAATTGAGTTAGAGGTGTAAAATCTAAACCCAATTGGCGTTGTCCTGAAATTTGATGAGACTGTTTATATAAGCAGGCTGAATCTTTGGGCCATGTACCCTATCCTATTCAATATAAAAATAAAAATTCAAAAAATCCTTTAAATTTCTTTTCATTAAGTCACAAAATTTCACGCGGTTAGTGTAAAAAATGAGAGAACTAGGACAAAACAAACGAGAGGAGGAGCTGGGGCATTCAAACGTTTAGGGTTAAATATTAAAAGATTCTAAAATAAACATGGATAATTGATTACAATTTGTATTTATCAGATACATAAAATATGAAATTTTGATATTATATTTATACGAATAAAAAACACCAAGAATCAAGATGTTACAAATGTTTGATTTTAACAAGACAAATTTACTTCTTAGATGACTTAATACTTAATTACAATTTGTATGGCAATTTTCCTTAAAAATGCATTTTACAGTTAAACATTATGCAGGATGGCAGCAGAATAAAGAAGTTTATTGGTCATTCAGAAAATATTTTCAATAACAATGTTGATTTTTTTAATTTAAATGAATATTATTTATCTTCATTTTTGATTATAATTATATTATACAGGGTGTCCCAATAAACATAGGAACTTAGAGAAAACTCTCAAACAGGTTTCGATCCACGGGAAATAGAATCATGATATAAAAGCAGTCAAAATAATAACCACCATTGTCCACTAGCTTTGGGATTTTCAAAATGTGACCTGCCTTTTTTGCACTTTTAAAAGGGACAAAGATGTTATAAGATTTTTTCCGAATTAATTGAAAAAATGTCCTCCATTTTTAAAGATACAAATACGCAAATAGATTCCAGTACAATAGATGGCAACGTAGGATTTGTACACTCTCAGTTCAGTTGTATTCTGACGTCACAAGTGTCAACTTTGTGTTTGTGTCCGACAAATTATTAAAAAAAGTGACATTTTGGAACAAAAGTGCTTAACTTACGATAAACGTAAACTGAGTGGAATTTTGGGTTCTTTAATTTCTGTTTTTACACTTTTTTATTTAATCTTGGCAAACATGTCAACTGATGGGAGAAAATTTAGTCTTCCTTGTTATATTTGACACTTATGACGTCGTGTATAATTTGTCCATTTCTCTGTTGCCACCTATTGTACTTGATACTCTATTTGCAATTATGCTGTACTGACCATATCGTACAATGTTATTTTTAAGTGTTCTAAATTTGTTTGTAAAAAACAAAGACAATTATTAAAATCGTCTTTGTTTTAATCACTTAATTTCCATGTTTTTTAAGGAGCACCATATACTTTTTATTTCCCAATTTTTTTATGTTATCACAGGTTTTCATGGTATTTATTATTGGTGTTTTTTATGGTCCATAATGGCTCATTTAAAGTATTTTTATGGCTCTTACACTATATTAACAGTATGAATTAAAGAGCTATTTTTACGGGGGGTTTGGAGCTTTTTTTTTTGTTTCATTGCTTTTTTGAATTAATTTTTTGCAAAGATTTAGGCTCTTTATGTAGATTTTGTAGATTTATATTGCAGGGTTTTTAGGGCTCTTGAGGAAGAACATCCAGACGCTATCATAAGCTTGTCATAGCTGGTGGCCTAAAAATAAAATAAAATAGTTGAATTTTGTAAAATAATAAATGCATAAAATAGTTGAGCTTTCCTTTATGGTTAGTATAACAAAATTTGTTTAGCTGGGGTTTGTCCTTCGGGAGGTTTTTTCTTTTAAGAAATTGGATATTTCATGACTGTATTTTGGAGGTAATTGTCTTTTTAAGAGTTTTTCTGTTAAAAAGTGTATTTTTCATGACTTTTTCAGTAAAGGCTGTCTTTCAGTAGTTTTTCATTTAGGAGTTTGTCTTTCAAAAGTTTTTCTATAAGGAGTTTTGAAGTCAGGAGTATTCTGTTTGGAGTTTGTTTTTCAAGAATTTGTCTTTCAATTACTTGTTTTTCTGGAGTTTTTCAGGAGTTTGTCTTTCTAGACTTTGTCCTTAATGAATTCATCTTTAAAGCGTTGTCTTTTTGGACTTTGTCTTTTAAGTTTTTTTCATTGCTTAAAACTAGTATAATAAATATTCAGGAGTTTGTCTTACATTAATTTGTTTAAAGGATTTGTCTTTTAGGTCTTCATTTATGTAAGTTTTTGTTTCATGAACTTCCTTTTTAGTTTGACTTTTTTAGTTTGTCATTCATGAGTTTGTCTTTCTTTGAGTTTGTCTTTCATGAGTTTGTCTTTCTTGAGTTTGTCTTTCATGAGTTTGTCTTTCATGAGTTTGTCTTTCATGAGTTTGTCTTTAATGAGTTTGTCATTCATGAGTTTGTCTTCCATGAGTTTGTCTTCCATGAGTTTGTCTTTCATGAGTTTGTCTTTCATGAGTTTGTCATTCATGAGTTTGTATTCCATGAGTTGGTCTTTCTTTAGTTTGTCTTCCATGAGTTAGTCTTTTTGTGAGTTTGTCTTTTTGTGAGTTTGTCTTTCATGAGTTTGTCTTTCATGAGTTTGTCATTAATGAGTTTGTCATTAATGAGTTTGTCTTCCATGTTTTTGTCTTTCATGAGTTTGTTTATCATGAGTTTGTCTTTCATGAGTTTGTCTTTCATGAGTTTGTCTTTCATGAGTTTGTCTTTCATGAGTTTGTCTTTCATTAGTTTGTCTTCCATGAGTTGGTCTTTCTTTAGTTTGTCTTCCATTAGTTTGTCTTTCATGAATTTGTCTTTCATTAGTTTGTCTTTCATGAGTTTGTCTTTCATGAGTTTGTCTTTCATGAGTTCGTCTTCCATGAGTTGGTCTTTCTTTAGTTTGTCTTCCATTAGTTTTTCTTTCATGAATTTGTCTTTCATGAGTTTGTCTTTTATGAGTTTGTCTTATGAATTTGTCTTTCATGAGTTTATCTTTCTTTAGTTTGTCTTTCATGAGTTTTTCTTTTAAGAGTTTTTAAATTAAAATATTACATATTCTTATAAAGAATGTTTGTTACACTGAAAGTTTTGTCTACATCGTGATACGTACATATAATTACCTGGCGTACGCTTTAGGTATAAATCCATATTTTCTGGTTTTAGGTGCGTAGGCCCACAGCCACCCATCCACTGTCTGGTGTTGCAAGTCAGCATAAACCCATTCACCTCTCCGTACAGAGAGGTCATCAGGTGCCTGAGCCTGATACAAAATGGTGACCATGAAGCATAAATTTAATAACTTGAATATATACTTGACTTTTACTCATCAAATATCGACTGTAAACTTTAAATTTTTTAAAAATTAATGAGTGGAGATATTAAAACAAAATTGCTGTAATTATTTGGTTATTACCGTCATTACAATTAAAAAAATTAAAATCGATTTTTTTGTCCCGGAGTTTTTATAAACTAATTACACAGAGAATTATCAGATAATGATGTCTAAGAAATATATTCTCCTTTAGCATTTCCTGTTTATTTTCTGAATTACAAATAATGTGATTTGTCTACCTTATAATCATACAGCATCACAAGTTCAGTTCCTCCAAATCTTTGTTCAGCACCGTTTAGGGATCCAACAACCGCCGAACCGCCAGAATTTCCGGTGGGCAAACTTCCAATTGCTGTCGATACTCCAGGGGACAAACTGTTAGGACCGGAACCCCCAGAACTAGAAACCCCGGTGGAGTGTGTCATATTACCAGAAATGGAACTATGCTGACCGGAAACAATACTCTGGTGACCGGAAATGTTGCTTAGAGGACCACTATTCACGCTGACCGAACTATGCAAACCGCTAGTTTCTCCACCGCTCAGGTTTAATTGATTCAGCTGATTTATGGGCGGAGAGAGACCGCTTTGGGCAGAGAAGTTAGATGGCAAGGATGGTGTAGGGGAGAAGATGGATGAGGGCGTGGCCAGCTGGGATCTAGGTGTGGTTTGCTGCTGGGTAGATGTGTTCAAGGATTCTAAGAATTAAAAACAGTTATTTTAAAAATTTAAAAATAAGAATGAACACAAAGGAATTCAGTCCATCTAAGGTCTACAACTTTGGGTTGCAAAGATATTATGCATGAATTATGCCAGGTCTAAACACCACTGCAGTGAACTAGACCGAAGGAGAAGGTTGAATTTATACGACATAGCTCACCCAGCTTTGATTTTACGTTCAAGTGTGAGAAAATCAAATTTATTTGGTAATTTATTAAAAAAAATTACAAAAAAATTCAAAAGTTCTTTATTATGATTAAAATAAATTAAGATTTTATTCCACTGTGAAGTTTAATTTACTTTGACGTAACACTTACGTTGTTTATGAATAGCATCTAGTGGATAAACAAACCCTGCTGGAACAAATCCTTCAGAGCTATCAGATCTTAGAACCCAGAACCATTCAGGGTCATCCTATACATAGATTGATATATATGCATATATTTACTTTTATTGATATATATATATATATATATATATATATATATATATATATATGAATACAGATTACATATTATATATAATTTTGTCGAACAAATTCATCTTTGAAGATGATCCGGTATGAAGCTTGTGATTTATTTAACAGTAACAAATAAAAATGCTTTACGTTTCAAATTTTGCTTAAAAAATTAGATTGATTCATTGACTGAAGTCAGACAAAAATCTAGTAATAATTCCTTTAAACCCGTATTATTAAAACAACTTAACAACGTTAAAGACCTCGGAAATTAAAAAAAATTCGATTTAATAAAATCCAAACAAAAATTTAAATAACATTACAAAATCTTACTTTATTTAGTACAGTAACACACTGCCCTCTCTCTACAGACAGATCATTTTCATCTTGAGCAGTGTAACTGTACAGCACTATATACCTTCCGTACGGGTCCTGTACATTGTAAATATTAATAAAGTGTAACTGTACAGCCCTATATACAGTTCGTACGGGTCTTGTACATTGTAAATATTAATAAAGTGTAACTGTACAGCACTATATACCTTCCGTACGGGTCCAGTAAATGGTAAATATTAATAAAGTGTAACTGTACAGCACTATATACCTTCCGTACGGGTCCTGTAAATGGTAAATATTAATAAAGAGTAACTGTACAGCACTATAGACCGTCAGTACGGGCCTGTACATTGTAAAAATTAATAAAGTGTAACTGTACAGCACTATATACCTTCCGTACGGGTCCTGTAAATGGTAAATATTAATAAAGAGTAACTGTACAGCACTATAGACCGTCAGTACGGGCCTGTACATTGTAAAAATTAATAAAGTGTAACTGTACAGCACTATATACCTTCCGTACGGGTCCTGTACATTGTAAAGGTTAATAAAGTGTAACTGTACAGCACTATAGACTGTCAGTACGGGCCTGTACATTGTAAACATTAATAAAGTGTAACTATACAGCACTATATACCGTCCGTGCGGGTCCTGTACATTGTAAAGGCTAAGACCCATAGAAATGTAAAATTAATAAATCTTATGTGTATTTGATATTTTAGAATAGCAAAAAGTCTTTGAAAATCATCTTTTTAAGTGAAGTATATCCTGTGCAATGCAATGCAATGCAATGAATGCACAGTGTGCATAGCACAAATGCTGTGTATCATGTTCATAGGACTTGATATCATTTTCATTACTTGAGTCGTCTTCCTATTCCACAGTTTTATAGGTGTCACTATAAATATGGAGAATGGATGAACCTCTGGCAAGGATGAGGATTCTAAGAGTAAGGATGAGGATCTATAGTTACCTTGAAGAATGAATGAACCTCTGGTAAGGATTAGGATTCTATGAGTAAGGATGAGGATATAGTTACCTTGAAGAATGGATGAACTATGGTAGTGATGAGGATTCTAAGAGTAAGGATGAGGATATAGTTACCTTGAAGAATGGATGAACCTCTGGTAAGGATGAGGATTCTGAGAGTAAGGATAAGGATATAGTTACCTTGAAGAATGGATGAACCTCTGGCAAGGATGAGGATTCTAAGAGTAAGGATGAGGATATAGTTACCTTGAAGAATGGATGAACCTCTGGTAAGGATGAGGATTCTGAGAGTAAGGATGAGGATCTGGATTGAGAAGTCTGGTTTAAACCCTGAATTCTAGACTCATCATTCTACAATAAAAAAAATTTGTGAAACACATCAATATTTTTTTTTACAAAATATCAAAATATTGATTTTCAAATGAAAACTTATTTTCTTTAAAAAAAGAGATATGCTTTTTTCAAATTATATTTTGCATTTAATGTTAATAGTAAAGTCCACAAATTTGAGCAAAGGGTGAGAAAATCCGAGGTCACATTTTGTTGCAAATTAACCAACTTAAGTTGTTGTCCTCAGGTTGGTTCTTTAAATAATACAAAGGAATTCTAAGTTCATCTCTAACACTTTAAAGATAAAATGATATTTTTTTTAATAATCAAGATAATTTTGCATCAAATAATTTTTTAACAAAGACATAATAGATTTGCTGGTTATCACAGAGAAAACAGATATTAAGAAAATAATTGGAAAGCAGGAAAACACAAAAAAAACTATATTCATTCTTTTAAAGTAGAGCTGTGAAATACAGTGTGAGAATAATACGGTATTATGCGAACTGTTTTTATACAACATAACATAATGTTTTGGCATGGTGCATGTTTTAGGTAAAAAATATTGATTTATAGTTAAAAATGAAAACATATGATTGAGTACACAGGAAAAAAAACCGCAAACTAAATACAAAAAAAGAGTTTGTTCTTGAAAAGTGGTTGGAAAATGTTTATTTTATTAGCAGTTCCACAGAGGTGGCAAAAAAGAATTTTTATTTAAAAATTTTATATAAAAAAAATGTAAATAATATAAAGAATTTAATAACAGAAATAAACGTTTTTGATGCTGTTTTTGGTGAAATATTCTTGAAATGGGCGAGAGGTTTTGATAAAACCGTTTCATTTGAATCGTAACTTTTTCTTTTTGTCTTTTATTCTCTTCTTAGCTTTTCTTTATAAATTGTCAATTTTTTCTCAGTAATACTCGAATGATAAAAATAAGACATTTAAGTAAACCCTATTATGGAAAAAATTCCTTTTAAACATCTATTTAATAAAGAAAACAGAATTTTTTTTGTATTTTCCCAAAAATCAATTTTTTTAGTAAGATTTGGTTTTTTAATACAAAATAAAACCAAATGTATAAATGTCCCTTTTCCCCCTTGAAAATGCAAAAAAAAAATAGCATTGCCATTTGCCCGTTAAACAAAAAAAGCTTTGATATCTTTTAAAGAATATATTTTTTTATCAACAGTATCTACTTTGCTGATGATAGTTTACCAATAAAATAATTAACAATTTTTTTAAAACAAATGATGTTCAGCTGATAATTTAAGTCACTCGAAGTTTTGAGGATTTTGAAACAAACTTCTTTCTTAGCCAAAAGAAAAAATGAAAAGATACTTTACATTAAAACAATTGCCTATTTGCATTGAAAATAAAATCTACCAGAACATTTTTTGGAATTTTCTTTATTAAACTTCAATATTTTCAAATATAACATGAACTCTGCATACAAAATGTATGTTGGGTAAAACAGCGCTAATCCTGGTTTTTAAAAACTACTAAAACAAAAATAATTTACCTGAAAACTATCTGTATCACTGTGCTCTAACCCGGAATTTACTAAAAAGAAATTTTTGATTTTAAACATTTGATGTTCCTAAAAAAACTACAAGTGACAAACAAATGGAAAGAATCACAATTATACATCTGCAGCATGATGTTATTAAAAACATAAAGGTTTACCGCTAACCGCCAAAACAAGTTCCCTGAAAAAAGTTTTTGGAAAAAAGTCCTAGAATTTGTTTAAATAAAATAAAAAAAGTCCTACCATTTTTAGATTTTATTTTCTAGGACTTTAAAACTCAGGACTTTTATTCATGAATATTTTGTCCTAGGACTTCAAAAAATTGGGACTTTTTTACCAAGTTTTTTTCCCCTTGACTTTCTTTTTACCATGTAGTTTGAAAATCAACGTATTACGTGAAATAAGGTTTGTGAACACTAAACAATTTTAAGTTCATTGAATGCTTAAAATAATAAGTCTAATAGTGTTTTTTTTCTCAAAATACCTTTGCCTTCTGAATTATTATTTTGTTCTAGCCCTCGTCCTCCTCCCCCTAGGTCTCCCTGTACTCCATGAATCCCGCCTTGTACTCCATGTACTCCTTGAACTCCTTGAACCCCATCCTGGTCGCGTACAAGACTTTGCTCCCTGGGCATCTTTTTCTTCACATTGAGAGCAAGTCCAGCCAACTGAAACAGACAAAATTATATTTTAATTCAGAATATTTTTACTAGATAGTAGATAAATAGTATTTACAGGATTACCCACAAAGAATGAAACATAATGACGACAGAAAAGAGTAATTTGAATATTGTCTTTCAAGAAAACCATGAAGCGAAGACGACACATACACAAAAATAGAAGGACGACATTCCATGTATTACCTGAGATCCGAACTGAGCTGTATAGGAGTGCGGGATAAATCCTTCTCTTGAATCTTCTGATATTACGTAAACCCAGTCATTCTCTTGGTACAACACATGTACAATCTAAACAGAAACCTAGATACAACATGTACATAAACATGAACAGAGACAAGTACAATCGAAACAGAAACATGTAAAACATTAACAGAAACATGTACAATGTGAACTGAAACACATGCATACTCTAAAGACAAACAAATGTACAATCTAAATAAAAACACGTGTACAATCTAGACAAAAACACGTGTACAATCTAAACAAAACATGTGTACAATCTAAACAAAAACACGTGTACAATCTAAAAAAAAACACGTGTACAATCTAAACAAAAACACGTGTACAATCTAAACAAAAACACGTGTACAATCTAAACAAAAACACGTGTACAATCTAAAAAAAACACGTGTACAATCTAAACAAAAATACGTGTAAAATCTAAACAAAAACACGTGTACAATCTAAACAAAAACACGTATACAATCTAAACAAAATCACAGCTCACTATCTAAACGCAAACACATAACCATGTACAATGAACTTATCATTAACAAAATAAAAAATTAACGATTTTTAACGACAAAAAACGGCTTTCATTATCCTAATTTTGTATTTTAATAGCAAATTAAGAAAAAATGCCTTAAATCAACAAATAAGCTTATGCTAAAAAACTAAAAATGCATTTTCACCAAATTTTCATAACCTTAAATAAAATATTTTGTTCATCAAAAACGCCGAAGAACCTGGTTTAAAAAATATCTATTCATAAGCTATGATGTTCATATGCGAATGTTTCAACTGCCAATGGGGGGGGGGGCATTACCAATCATATTTTTTAGACTAATCATTGAAAATATCAGTATATACGCAAGACCATGTTTATTGTTACACCCTGCTTTGTCTATATATATTGAGAAGATGACAGCTGCATAGGCTTTACAAAACAAACAAGCAAGGAACACAGATCAAATGTAAACAAATATAAAAACATTTTCTTAAAAGATGAAAAAAAAACATTTCAAAATGAAAGTTAAGGCGTAATTTTAAGTGACCCTCCATGCAAAGATAGCAATGCCAGATTTACACGGATACCCTTGAAACCTTCACCTGATCCAAAATGTGGAAGATAACGGCGTTTTTCTGACTCGGAAGAGTGCAGTGTTTTTTTCTGTGATTTTTACCATTTTTCTTATAAGCAAGAAATGCGCAAGTCACATTTGCAAAGAAACCCCAATAAATTGTTAAAATAAACAAAAATGGATACTGTAGAGGATTATAAAATCCAAAAATCCGTATCGTTAGAAGACCTACTCACCTTCCTCTCCTATTATATCCTCGTTATTTATTATAAATTTATATCTAAAAGCAATAAATTGTACTTCTAAAGTGGTGACCCCAAACGGTAAATGAACCATGACCAAAAACACAGCTTTCTGGTCAGAAACAGCTCAAGAATTGGACAAGGTTGACAATTTAGAATAAGCTTTTCAGGGTACCCTTGTAAATCAGGCATTGCAATCTTTGCATGAAGTCAAGAAATTACGCTTACATTCCTCTGAAACTGTACCTGTCCTCGGCGCACACTTAGTTCATCATCAACACATGGACTAAAATCATGCAGAACCACCATCTTGGATTCAGGACTCAACCCTGCCTCCTGAACATAATACAATCATGAACAATACATCTTGAATTCAGGACTCAACCCTGCCTCCTGAACATAATAAAATCAGGAATTATACATCTTGGATTCGGGACTCAACCCTGCCTCCTAAACATAATAAAATCATGAACTATATTCAACCCTACCTCCTGAACATAATAAAATCATGAACTATACATCTTGGATTCAGGACTCAACCCTGCCTCCTGAACATAATAAAATCATGAACTATACATCTTGGATTCAGGACTCAACCCTGCCTCCTGAACATAATAAATTACCCTAATTAAGGAACTGTAGATAGAGTTTTAATTAACCCTTCGTTTGTCCGATTCCAAATAATATATGTTAGTCGGATAAAGGTAAAATAAGGCATTCAGGCAGTATGCCTAAGTCTCAGGCAGCAGATATAAAAGCCCCGCTTTGAGCCTTAAGTGAGGAGCATGAGTTAGTTAGAAAAGTGAAAAAAATTAACACCCTCAGACCAATACTTTTTTTCTCATTGGTACAAAAATTGAGAATTATTGAGTATCGAGGGACAACCAAAAAATGTAAAAAAGACTTTTTTATCTTAAACCAAAATTTGAACTGTTTACAAAAAGAGAGAATATTAAACATTTCATGGCGCATCAAATTTCAGTTAAAAATAAGCGAAACAAAAATGCAAAATATTTTGAAAATTTTTTTTTGTTCGAAAAATCATTAAATCTTTAAGAAATGTGTATAACTTAGATTCGAATCCATTTATATTTCAGAGGTACAACATTTAATGGATTCTAAATTCCAAGGAACTTCATAAAAATATTTATTAAAAAACATTTTTTTACCTTTTCTAACCCGACTCTAACAAGAGTTTCTATGGAGGCTGACCCAGTGATTCTACCCATACTTGGAGCTCCTCGTAAACTCTCATCATCTAGAGCTAAACAAAATAACAGAAAATTATCATTAAATTGCTAATTTTAGGGGGGAAATATTTATGTTGGTTGTACATTAAGACTTTTTTTAAAACAGATTAATTAGAATAACAAATAACGTCACGGATTACAATCTGTTGTTTGTCAAAATAACTAAAAAGCTTTGATGATTTTTAGAAGCATTCTGGCTGAACATTCAACTACGTAAATAAACTGATTCCTTTTAAATTTAAATTAGAATGTTTGTTGGTAGATAATGCTAAAATTAGAATGTTTGTTGGTAGATAATGCTAAAATTAGAATGTTTGTTGGTAGATAATGCTAAAATTAGAATGTTTGTTGGTAGATAATGCTAAAATTAGAATGTTTGTTGGTAGATAATGCTAAAATTAGAATGTTTGTTGGTAGATAATGCTAAAATTACGATTAAATATTTTTTGAATGAAAGAAGCAAGTCTTTCTTTTCAGTGCATTTTAAGATAACATTTTTTTCCAGATTTTCTTGTTTTATTTGGTAATTTTCAAAATTCGGTAAATTCTAGCTTCTCACGTCACACCATAAATACATAATAAACGGAAGGTTCCGCGAAAGTTTGCCACAAATTTAAATTTTCTGATTTCTATATCTTAACAAATTTCAAACTCAGATTTTTTTATCAAACAAAATTTATAGTTTTGAAATACAAGATTTACAGCCAAAGAGAATAGAATATGTTAGAGGGGAATTTAGAGAATCTCTCGGTATAAATTTTTTCAGTCCCTTTCAGCCTGAAATCATGTAAATGTTCACAAATTATATGCAGTAGAGTACATTAATACAGTATGTTCCCTAGACTATTCATTTCAATTTCGAATTTTTTAAAGCTGTGAAATAAACTTTTTAATGAATTAGGTGAATAAAAGACATCATTTGATTTATAGTTATAACGGAAAATCATCGTTTGTAAAGTGAAAGGCATAGAGTCTATTTGAAATGATGATTGGTCAGTTATGAAACTGGCCTATTTCATAATTTGGTTTTCTTTTAATATTAACTTTAGATTTTCTATAAAATGATGTTCTAGGGCTCAAAAGGTTATATAGCGTAAATATGTGAAGTACACCTGCAGTATGGAAACAGTACAACAAAATGGCCGTTTTACACTTTTTTCTAGTAAATTCCACTCTAATATATATTCTATTCTCTTTGTTTACAACATTGTGTGGCAATAAAAGAGACTTTTAAAAAATTTGAGTTTGTGCACAAAGGCTTAACTCTCCTTTGTAGGTTGTTATGACGATTAACGAATTCAAACCGATTAGACAAACCTTGAACATTGAACTTTCAAGAAATCTTAGAAATTAAATTTAGAATACAATTTGAGGTAAAGTTGTTGTTAGATATCTGAATATTTAATTAAGAAAGGTTTATGTTAGAATTGTTAATTTGACATGTTATGCTAATGATACGTCATCATGACAAGTGTTGTGTAATGAGGGGGGAAGGCGACCCACACCCGTTTTACCTCCGACCCGCAGATGACGTCACAAAACGGGATTTGCGGCATGCGTTTTCCCATATGCCGTCCGAACCTCACTCGTTTTGCCTTTGGCAAAATTGCTTTTATTTTGTATATACTAATTATAGACGAAAGCAGCATTAATTTTAATTTATAAAGACGTCATAGTATCTATCATATAATAAATGTATTCATCATATTTCTTTTCTATGACAGCAGAGGATGTACAACACATAGAAAAAAGGGCGTTTTTTTAATAATTTACTCTTTATATAATATGTTAAAGTTATAGTTGCTGTCTATAATCTTTGCATAAAAAGTGTTGCAACAATTAGAAAAACAATTATTCAAAAAAATGTCTGAGTTTGGTGTCCAATTCAATTAAAGCAAATTTTATAATTTAACCCTCATCCATTTTACCTCCGACCCGCAAATAACGTCATATGATTATAGCATATTCTTTGATTGACTTGCATGCCAAAAGGCGACATTTTTTCATTTGTCTATAATTAGCATTCAAAAGTACAGTCTTTTTGTTAAATGGGAAAACGGGTAAGGGTTGGATGGCAAAGGGGTAAGCGCATGCCGCTAATCCCATTTTGTGACGTCATCTGCGGGTCGGAGGTAAAACGAGTGCGGGTCGCCTTCCCCCCTAGTGTAATGGTCATTTCTTGCATTATACTTGATACTACCCCCTCCTCGCTCCCCCTTCTTTATACAATATTGCCCCCCACTCCCCAAAATATTCACAGCACCTTCTTGCGTTACCGTTTGCCTTCGCCCCAAAACCACCCTAAAAACATAATTTTTCCCTTCATACTCAATCTCATCATCTCTGTGTCTTCTATGTCCCAATAATCCCTTCATTCCTAAACCCCCTACTCAAACCTCTCTTCCATCCTCCTCTTTATCTGATCAAAATGTGAAGTAAAAAATGTATGATCAGTAATAACCACAATCCAATTACTTTTATACACAATAGCGAGGAAATTAACAATAATTTTTAGTCCCGAAATTTATTGCTTGTAAGGGGGGGGGGGCGTGGTATTTAGATAATGCATCTCTTTCCTTTCTCCTCTGCCCAAAATACCAAGATGTGAATTTTACAAGAACAGTTTTTAGGTCAAAATTCTACATATTTTTGACAAAGGCCTACTTTTGAGGCAGTTTTAAAATAGTATATCGAACTCTAAATTCGATGATCAATTTTAAAAAGTAGGTCGTAAAAATATTTCTAGATTCCCATTTCAAGGGCTTTTCATCAAAGTAAGTTTCAGCTTTTAGCTTAAAGCCTGTTTATTTTTGATTTTTTCAACTGTTTACCGTACCCTGCCAGGTGTATTACTATAATATTCTAAATATCGTTAATATCATTCTTCCTAAAAAGTTTAGAAATACTTGTTTCAAACTTGAGGGTCCAATATTTAAACAACTAATATGTTGGGAGGGGCGCGTTGCTCTCTCCCAGTCTTTTTAGATCAAAAGACTGAATATCAGATGCTCTAAAATTAACCTGAGTTTCAGATCAAGCTCAGGCTAATAATAAATGTAAAATCAATGAGAGTAAAATAAGGATAGATGAAGGTCTTAAGTAGGATCAAAGATATTGAAATAGGGATTGCTATATTTTACATTTATGTATATTCTATCATGCTGTAATTTAAATCCTTGTTTATGGGATCCCTCTAGTATACCCTTGTATATTATATCCCTGTTTATTATACCCCTGTATATTATATCCCTGTATATTATATCCCTGTTTATTATACCCCTGTATATTATATCCCTGTTTATTATATCCATGCATATTATATCCCTGCATATTATGTCCCTGCATATTATATCCCAGCATATTATATCCCTGCATATTATATCCCTGCATATTATATCCCTGCATATAATATCCCTGTAAATTATATCCAAGTATATTTCATCCATGTTTATTACATCCATACATTATATCCCTTTATATTATATTCCTGCATATTATATCCCTGCAAAATTTATCCAAGTATATTTTATCCCTGTTTATAATATCCATATATTATATCCCTTTATATTATACTCCTGCATATTATACCCATGTATGTTATGTCACTTTTAATTATATCCCTGTATATTATATCCCTGTTATTATATCCCTGCATATTATCCCTACATATTATATCCCTGTATATTATATCTCTGTATATTATATCCCTGTATGTTATATCCCTGTATATTATATCCCTGTATATTATATCCCTGTATGTTATATCCCTGTATGTTATATCCTTGTATATTATATCCCTGTATATTATATCCCTGTATAATATATCCCTGTATATTATATCCCTACCCTTGCAGCATTGAATGCAAGATCATGTGACCTTTGAAAAGCTCTACAATTTACGCTCTTTTGCTTGTTAAATATTTTCTCAAATTGTTAAAAAAACCGTTTGAAATAAAAAATTTAAGTAAATATTAGACTGTGTAATAAGAAGACGACTTTTATTTCTAAATACAATAGAACATGAAACACGGGAATTGCGTAGCGAAAGCAGACACACTTTACGTTTATTTTTAAGCTAGTAGCTTTCTTTCTTTCTTTCTTTCTTTCTTTCTTTCTTTCTTTCTTTCTTTCTTTCTTTCTTTCTTTCTTTCTTTCTTTCTTTCTTTTTTCAATCTTTCGTTCAACTATCAATCAATCAATGTATATGTATTCTAAATATATCTATACCTATATATAAGCCTGGAGGGAGGTTGAGATTGACATATTTCATAAAGCACAGATTTGAATAGAGATGAACCTATTCTACATATATGCACTAGGCAGGGTGAACCAAAACTTACAGTTATATTTTATCAATTTTTTGAAATTATATCAGTTTTTTCAGGCCTTAAAAATTTAAATAAATATTAATATCAAACAAAGTCCCATTTCCAGATACATCATACAACCCAACTTTGTTGACATTTTCGTGTATTTTTCCAAAAACATATATATCTTGCAAGTAGGGTTTCCAGTGGCATTGTAAAAATCGTTTTGCGAAAAAATTTGCGGAATACTCAAGCGAACTTAAACGCATTTTTCGCGAAAGTTTGTTTCCCCTGAAAGTATATTAACGTTTATGAATTTGTAAGATTGGGGGGTCCACTCCTCCAACCTCGAAATCCGCATTGCTTTGGCAACCCCAGCTTTAAATTAGCATCCACTGCGCAGGATTGGGGGGG